TGCATGTACCTCTAACATTATGTCTGTCTTTATTAAATTGTTCACCGAAGTAATTTTCTTCACCATTCTTATAACACATGTTAATTTGTTTTTAACTTTGTGTTAGCAGATTTATTATGAACTGTAGGGTTCTGAAGATATTTTTGACAAGGAAACTAGATATAAGCACCCATCTGACAACTCAATTGGCTCGGGACCAGACTTACGGGTACTGAACACGGGTGGCCTTGTGTGCTGGTGGGCTATGGTTACTGGGAACACATGTTATTTGGTGCTGGAAGAGGTTACGTAACGTTTTCATTGATGTAGCTTCATCGGTCTTTTGTCACCGCTCTTTTTTCATCGCTATTTCTTCATCGATCAAAAGAGATCGATCGATCGATGTAGGGGAATGATCGATCGATGAAGAAGAACGATCGATCGATGCAGAAGAACGATCGATTGATGTAGGGGAACGATCGATCGATGTAGAGGAACGATAGATCGATGTTGAAGAACGATCGATGTGCTGCTTCAAGGTTTTTGCCTCTTTGGCGTTCCATACGCATGCACTAATCACCACGGCACCGTGGGCCCAGCCCGAATCTACTATAAAGCATATACATGTACATGTAGCAGCATACGCAACGCCCCATAGCAACAGCAACACACGCCACATCGCCAAGAACTCAAGTCAGCGAGCAAAAAAGCTAACAAAATCAAGCTCCGCCCACTTACGCACCCCAAGCAATTTTTCCCCCAAATAGAAGTAAAACTATGCTTTCGGTGGGGCCACCCACCTCTATGCAAAACGTCCACGGGTTGGAACGAATAAGGCCGAGGTGGACGCCAGATGTCCCAAATTCGTGATTTATGAAAATATCTTTATGATCGCTCCCAATGACGGCATCTAATTTTCATGAGCTCTCGCGTATAAATCCACCCACTTTGTGGAATGCACCCGCAAGACGCTTGGCAGAGAGAGTATTACTGGACTGCAGTCGAAGGGTGGCGTTGCACAGATTTTAGTGGAGGAAATACATCACAAGGGGTCACAGCTAATGACGCGCAGAGCATTGTCGGTAAATTTCTGCTGGGCGCAAGTTCGCATAATTTACTGAGTACCAATTCCTTGGGCATGCCAGAAAAGGGTTGGACTTTCTAAAACTGCACCTTGGGGAGCATTATGTTTATAACATTTTTCTGGAGGACTGTTATGTTAATAGAGTCGATTTTTGTGTCCGTGAAAGCGAAACACATGAACGCAGCGCGTGTACGCAACGCACCATAAAACGTAAATAACTTAAGTACGTCTCGTGATTTCCAGTTTATTTCTTTTGCCATGATTGGCTTGACTTCATTTATGAGTTTTAGTACCCATTACCTTATCAGAATTAAAACTGTGTATCACTGTTTACCACTCTGCGTGTAAATTTGATGTTACAAGATAAGAAACAAAAGCCTTCTTTTATGGTATGCCATTCAAGACCGGGGTTTCTATGTATGTGAAAGGTTACGATTGTGAGTTGAACGTGTTGCATATTACTTTGGGGATTAGAGTACCTGTTGATCAATGGTCTTGTGTTATCAAATGATGGATAATAAGCAAACAATTACCCAAGCAAAGGTTTTAATTTCTTTTGTAAAGATAAATCTCATTGGATAGTTGGACAGCAGGCTTGTACAAAAGAAAGGGGAATGCTGAATTACTTTTTCTGGTACAAATCTATATAATATACGTAAAAAGTGGCTGTTTTTTACAGTCTTTGGTCGTTCAGAGAGTGCTCGGTGTAATAAGTATTCTTAAAGAAGGGAACGCCGCTGGCAGCATGAAAACAGTTTGTTTTATTCTCCTTTGAAGTCAAATACAGCGTCAAGTAAAATAATATCCTTGGCTTGACATTTCAAATTGAACATTTTGTCGAGGTTACACTTATGTCAAAACATTTAAAAAAATCACGGGTGTACGTACCGATGTGCCACTGCAGACTAAAGACTTAAAGCTGTTTCTTATTCTCCCGGGCTAAGAAAATGAGGCATATATAGAAACAAACGTTTCTCTCATATTTTTCATTATTATCTTCTTATGACCCTCTAAAAAGTACTGTATATCGAAAAGCTATCTTTATGCTGAGAAATATTTGAAACTTGGCATTGTGGAAGTAGGTACACCGTGGCGCAGACAGAGCATCCATCCACGGAAAGAGCATCCTGGTCGAAACGTCTGGTTACCTGATACGCACGCTGGTTCTTTCAGAACCCACCTCTTCTTGAAGAGATAGATTCGATGGTGTACCCGCAAATCCTTACCATATATCTATATACAACAGCACAAGTACTAGATACTTCTGCGAGCTATACAAGCCTACACATTTTTATCAGAAAGATATTTCGTGCCCCTTAGTAAACTGTACAATTTCCGGTTTATAAAACCTTTGGGAAAATTTTTGACAAAAATGGCGTAGCACATTCGAACTCTCACATCATTGCTGTCACAAATCCAGATAAGGAGGGTGCCTGGTGTAATGATTCATCACATAATATACAAATATTAAATAAGACGTTCAGCTGGAATGGGTCGAGGGGTGGTCATTTCAACTTTCCAGTTCTATCCATCATCACATGACATTCAACCAAGGGTGTGTGGTTCGGATTATTACTCGAAGATTTGACATTAAGAGGTGTTTTATTACATATTTGAACATTCTGATAAATCCAGTCTGTGTTTGATGTCTGTGCTAGTTGCCGTATCGATAGGGTCAGTGTGTCACTAGGCTTTTAGGCGACTCACCTTGAGTATGGGTCTGACAAGTCCGCGCGCTCTTGAGCGAAGGAGCCAATCACATTGGCCAACTGATTGTAGGTGGTATAAAAAATAATATTTGATACCTTCATTAGCGTTTCAGCATGGTCAGTGGTGGTAGTTAAATGCAGACTATAAAGGATCAGAGTGTGACCGGTCTGAGGCATATTTCAACTGACTTTCATTAAGTCCGCACTTTGCTATCGCTGAATCCTTCAGTAAAGGTAAGATTTTATTTACGTTCTGCACCTGTTAAAACAAAACTCAATTTTGTATGAACTGCATGCTTGCAGAATTCGAAACGGTGATGGGAAACCCACTTGTTTTAAATTAACCCGCCGGCTAAAATGTAAGCCTTGAGTAAGACAGAAAGTTCCACTTTAGGTGTCAGTTTCAACTAGGTATATGATCCGGAAAATATTTATAACAAGTCCCGATGCCGAATCACTTTCGTTGAGGCAGAACTAAGAAACGTTTCGTCCACATCAATTATATTTGACCGATGATTTTTTTTCCAATGGCGCATTTCAAACAGATGGGTGCTGGCTGTAAAATGAAGTGAATTCTGTCAAATTTCAATAACTACGGCCAAATGGCCACTTGTGAGTGGGCATGCATTGGTGGAGGAACCGTGCTACGTTGGCTGCCTAAACGAGCACAGATATGACAACTTGGAATGAATTCATAAAAACCAAATTTTTCATCCAAGATCTCAGCAGTTTCAATCGTTATTTACACCTTTGCAAGACATGTCACGCTGTCAAAGACGAATGCGTGCTCGAGTTTTCGTCGAAGATTCAGTGGATTTCAATCTTTCCCTTATTACTGTTCTTGTTCTCACCAAGCGATGCGAATGAAAACAATATCTTACTTGTCGGGTGCGAAAAAAGCCCCAAAATGTAAACAATGGTTTGGCAATTTATTCGGCGTCATTTTCACCATCGGAATGTAAATAATTATTGAAAGTAATGCAGGCATCGGCTTTTATATAAACCAAAAGTTGTTAAGAAACGTTTTGGTACTTTATTAATTTATGCTATTTGTAGATTCTTTGCTTTGTTTTGACTTTTTAACTTACCAACTAATATTTTAGCCTAGATCGGACAGTTATTAATTGTGAGCAGAACATATTTGAGGCAAAATGTTATAAAGCAGTTTCCTTGCAAGATAGATAGGATTAAGTATAGGAAGTCTTAATTTCCTACGGCTGTACGCGTGCACCGCTGCGATATCATTAAATTACAATTTAAAAAAGAACAAGAAAGACAATGTACAGTATGTTTGATCATTCCCTGAGAGTTGAAGCTCTTGCAAAACAGATGAATCTAGTTCAAAATGGCTGGACGCGTTTCAAGACGTGTATGATAGGCCACTAAAGAGAACACGATTTAGCATCCTGTGAAATTGTGGCCATTTAATTGAAACAGTCACGAACATTCAGTTGAAAACTTGTTGTTTTTTGTCGGTAAAAACACCGTGACTTTTATGGGTCAAAGCGATACATGCGTGATCATTGCATATGAATTACTTCGGCGGGATTAATTGTACTCGTCACTCCATTATGCAGTACTATGTACAATTCTTATATGGTAAGCCTACATGCATTAAACCTAAGCCTCCCTCCGATTTCAGTATGATTTTACATACATCCTTGGGGGTACAGTTAACTTTATATGAGAGGAAAACAAGCTTCAACTACAAAATGGTAACATTCTTGCGAATTACTTCAAACATGTTAAACATACCCCACCTAATTCGGTTACCATTTGCACAGGGATACTGACAATTTGCATAAGGAGCTGCACCAGTGATTGTCAACTGAGCTGGTGCAAAGTAAACATGCTTTTTGAGTTTATACAGATACAACATACAGAATAGAAAGTCTATCAAAGAGCAGCACTAATCATGATCTGTTAAGGACCTAAATCTACAGTCCAAAGTAGCCTTTTCTCAAGCTGGCCACAACATGCATGGGAGAAAAACAGTTTGTCACCGCATGTTGTCACAGCATCTTTTTCTTTTGTAATAAAGTCTTCACTCCTTGTTTTACATGCATGTTTTGTTCTGTACCAAACATTTTACTGACGTTTTCCTCAAGAAAACCTACCCTGATTCCCTATTCCATTGCGAAAGCATTATAATATGTCTCGAGGGAGAGGGCTTGTTTTATTATTTTTGCTGTGCATTTCCTTATATAGCCTAACGAAACTGCATCATCATGCCTTGTGACTTGAGTGGCAAATGGGTGTACACCAGTGGTGAGGGTATGGTTGCTCTCATGGATAAGCTGAATATCCCAGCTGACAAACGACCGTCTGACCCGTCTTCTACAGTAGAAATCACTCAGAATGGAGACAACTTCTGTATCAAGACTACTACCCCTGATGGGAGAAGTCGCGAAGCAAAATTCACCATCGGTAGGTGTAGGCTACAGGCCTTAACCCGAACAACTGATACGCTGATAATCGTCTTCTGTGACGCTGTCGTAATTACTTTACAGACCAGACCAAGCAATGATTTGGTGTTTGTCCATAATTTGGAGTACTATACCCTGGACGGAAAGATGGTCGTGTTTTCTGATTTTCCTATTTTGTGTGCCGCTATTTTTTGTGACGCAGGAGTTGAATTCGTCGATGAAGAAATCAAAGCTTTGCGAGGAATGGACATCAAAGCTACTCCCTGCTGGGAAGGAGATAAGCTAGTCTTGAAGGGATCTGGAGGCAACGGCTCTGTGTCCCGCCAGATTGTGGGAGGTCAAATGGTCCTGACATATGATGTCATGGGGGTCAAAGCAACGCGTGTCTTCAACAAGGCCTAGGAACTACATCCCAATAAGACTTCCTGTAGTTTCTACTGATTCAATGCCCTTGACATAAGGTCACATGTAAAAAAATTGCTTTGCCACGTCAGGGAGATGTTAATTTTAATTACCTTACTTTATTTTGTCCTTACACTGACGTATACTAACATTGTATACTTGTACTTAGGGCATGTCTTAGTAAGACCCGACTCAGTAGGCTTGTGACAAACAAAATTGGTAAACAGAAAGAAACAAATTCTGCTTTTTTTATATAGATTTTTTTAATTACAAAGTAAAATAAACCAATTATCATATCTTACACGATGAATTGTCTCTGTGTGATGAACTACATAATACCAAATTCAGGCCAAACTACCAGTACCATTTGGATTGGATTTTCTACATTCTCAGAATAGGGCCTATCAAGTCTTTTGAATATAGGTAACTATATTGGTTAATTTGTAGAATTATATTACAACGGAAAACCTTTGTAATGTCCTGCAGCACAATTCAATCGTTTCCGTTGATATTCAGCAAAATAGAATTTTTCTAATTTTGCTCGTTCTTCTAAATATCGTACTTTCCCGTTACGAACCTTATATAAGCCCGCTGGCCGTTACGATCGAGACGGGTGGATTCCGTTTCTGTAATGCTCTTTTTCTATGAATTACGGGAAGTCTGAAACTGAATTTTCTTTACTTATCGTTCTATGAAAACCTTTGCCCTCAAAGATGTATGGATGGATTATACGCTTAACACTTTTTCTGTACCCGCTTTTTAAACACGTTTCACCCATAACGTGTTTAGACATGCCATGTGCTAAGCAAATTAACAAAACCTGATCCAGTATTCGGAAAATCAATTCAGTTACTAAAGCATAACCACGAAGACACAGTGTGAAATATCTGATCAGTCAAGGCGAAGGATTTCTAATTCTCTGTCCTCCGAGCAGGAACAAAAGAGGGCGTGTTTGAAATGAAATTAATAGTCCTTTGGCATGCATTCACCTCATAGACGCGCAAGTTTTATATGGGCGTTTGACGTCAAGCACGCCGAGTACGCGCTACGAAGTTAGTCCGGAATGTATTCGGTAACAAGAATCAGGATCCATTGCTGCGGTGTCCCCACGCACGTGAACAAAACGAGATGCACATATTCCTCATCCGCCAAAAGAGCGCACTGTTAACCGGAAATAAAGCGCACGTCAAACTAAGGAATGCGAGCCTGAGTGATCATGGGGACACCGCAGTAATGGCATCAGCGATCGGTCTATGCTAAGGTCTTCGCGTTCAAGCCGAACGTGTGCAAGAACGCTTTTGGAAAACTTAGCACCATCTATCTTTCTTTCGCCGGTGAGGGTGCACTTTATGTGTTCCACTCGCGCTCGTGTCATGAACTTCCCTGAATACACCAATGTTACACGCAAGGGAAGCCGCAAAATGAGGCTAATTGAACGCTGCGGTGTATTCGCCAAGGCATTCTGGGGAAAAGGTCCAGTCCCCGCCTCGCTCGAACAGTCCATCCATGACGTCATTACACTCGGACACCCTCCAGAGACCTGCTCGCTAGCCGGGGGTACTGAGTAGTGGTTGACACCGGGGCAGGTACAAAGATCACGTGATAGCTAAACGAACGCTCTCGTGTAAGTTTGACGTACACGTGTAAGCTAATCGAACACGCCCACTATCGCACGGTTCATATCAAACCCAAACGCTGTTCTAACTTATCAACGCATTGCGCTATTGTTGCGCTAAAGGCGAAACGCACATCTGCAATATTACGTTTTCTGAGGGAATAAACATGGGCTTGACCGGAAGACCAGCTCGCTCAGGAAAATGGACACGACTAGTGTCTGAGTCGCAGATTAGGGCATTGTTAGCGTTCGGGTCTTGTCCAAGCACATATTAATTTATTCCAATTCATAAATACCTTTTCATTCAGAGGTAAAAGAAGTCAACACATGATGGGTTTCAAACAAGTTTGTTTTAAAACTTTAATTTCATTCTCCCACACACGCCTGTCAATTTTATAGTATATTCCTTTTGCAAGTTGTCCCAATAGAATCCTCTTCAATGAACTTGGCGTGCGCGTGGTGCTTCATTGAGAAACCTGTGAGCACGCGACGTGCGTCCCGTGCCAGCGCGTGATTAATGCAGCGGGCATTATCACCAAAGATCGTATAGCGGTGCAAGATGGGGAACTTCACTACGAACACGCGTAAAACGTTATCACATGGGCGCCATTCTGGTTGGACTACGACTGCGCAGTGCATGTTGATGCACAGGCGCAGGCGCCGCGACCGTGGCCCGCACACACATGAACGTTCACACTCGAATGGCGCCCAAGCTGATAACACCTTTACGGCTACGCGGCGCTATTTATTCTTTGATTATCACTTCTCAGTGGGCGTTATTATACAAAATGATTACGAGTGCGACGATATAATAATAATAATGGGGTGACAGACAAAACGATCAATTCCACGAGGCCAAGAAGCCTCGTTTCGTCTGGCATCTCATGCAATTATTCTTATGATTGCACGAATGCGAAACATTCATTATTTGTTTCATACAACACCCGGATAAATCCTTGTCATCTGACTTTCTGAGCACAGCTTGATTAATTTACTGATTCATAATGGAAGTTGTCAAGTTGTGAATCTGTTAATTTTTCGACATGATATTCCGAACTCATTTAATCATTTGGCAGCATTTTATCTGTTTCCATATGTTAGCAGCATCAGCATTACTTACAAAAACAAGTTCTTGCAATTATTTCGTAGAATTTTGAACGGCAGAGCTTGATCGCTCGTCATTTTGCCATAAAGAAATTTGCACCACCAGAAGCTGCATTGCAATCGGTTCGGAGGGGTTCGATCCATTTCTAACGCAGAGTTATAAATGGGTACGTTCGATAAGCTTCCACGAGTACACCAGTGTTACACCAAGGGAAGCCTCGAAATGAGGGTAATCGAATGCTGCAGTGTACTCGCCAAGGCATTCTGGGAAAAGGTCAAGTCCCCGCCACGTTCCATA